CCATGACCCTTGGGCTCTTTTAACCTGTGTTTGGAAGGTTTGATGTCTTCCCCATTGCAGGATGCACCCACATGCTGTCTGCCCCTGCCCTGAGCTGTGCCTGCTCTGAAGTGCAACCCTGCAGCTCAACGTGCTCCTACGGGGGAGCAGGTTTGGGTTTCCTGCCTGAAAACATTCATGCGAAGGCAGCCTCAGCCCACTGGAAGGCTTTTGCTACTTCATGGCTTGCAAAGTCAATGGCAAACTTGTTTTCCAGCTCAGTTTTGAGCCGCAGCACTGACTGCAGCCTCCAGCAGCTGCCCTGTGCTCCGTGCCGCTGAGAGGGAGCCAGGGCCCTGAGGACGGTGGGGCACCTGGGGACATCCCCCCGCACGGCACATCCGCAGAGCTTGTGTCCCCTCCGCAGTGCCGAGCTGCTGATTGCCATCTGACCCAGCCTCAGCCCTCTCCCCTACAGCCAGTCCTGGCCTGGACCATGCTCAAGATCTTGAATCGAGCCCAGGAGAGTCCCCAGGAGACCTCGGATGTACCCCGTGGACACTACATGCCGCTCCTTTCTACACCACCAACCTCTGCCCAGTTCTATGCCTGGCCTGTCCGACCCAACCCGACCCAACGGGCAGACGTCACGTTACCTCTGCAGGCTGCACCCATCTTCTGAGGTGGAGAAGAGCAGCAGTGGGGGGAAGAGAGAGAAGCGCTCAGGGATCCAGGACCAGACGACACGCATCTCCTGAGCCGTTACAATGCTGGAGCTGAAGTTCTGCATGTCCACGGCCAGGTGGAAGGACTGCCTGCATGAGGGAGGACGCCCATTGCTGCCAAGCCGGGGTGCCCCACTGCTTTTAGGGGTGCAGCCCCCGTGCATCGGATTTTGTCACGCTTTTCGCATCGTGAGCTTTCTGTTAACATTGCTAGCTGCAGCCGTGCAGTGCCTCCTAACAGGGTGCCCCGCGAGGGGCTGTGAGGCACCCAGCACAGCCAAAGCTACGGGAGATACCTTAAGATCCCCCCGTGTTATATCTCGGCTGTAACTCATGTTTTGTCTGCTTAGCCCCAAGAGCTGGCAAACAGAGGTCTCCTTACCTGCTCTGCACCATGGTTATGCCCCTCTCCATTAACGCCTTCCTGTTGGCCATCTGGAGAAGCCAGATTTCCTTGCGGGAGAACAGCCGGATGCCAAAGGCTCTCTCCAGGAGTTTGTCAACAGTCATGTGCTCTGCAATGTTCTGCACGAAAGCCTGCAGGTCTGCCTTGGTGTCAGTCCTCTCCAGCTCGGTGGAGGTCACCGAGAGCCTGTACTGCTTCAGCAAGGCCAGAGCAATGCGGTAGAGGACCTTCTGCCCCTCCAGCAGGTAGACATCAAAAACACGGATGGCGTAATTGAAGGGGAGGTCGTGAAAGAGCCACGATAACCATTCAGAGTAGACCTCAAAGACGTTCTCAGAGGTGCTGGCTATGAGTTTGTGAGCTGCTGGGCAGTGCTTGTTGGCCAGATCCCCAAAAGTCATAGAGGAGGCCCGGTGGGCCAGGAAGGACTGGTCAATGTAGCTGGTGTGGGGAGTGTTGCTGGCAATGAGGCGAGAGATGTTCTCGAAGCACTGAGCTTCATCTTCGCTGTAGTGCAGCAGCAGAGCCACCAGCGAGGGGAGGATTGGACTGTAGGTTATGTCGGGGAAAAGGTTGGCGACACAGATGAGGATCTTCTTCAAGGCGGTGACCCCTTCCAGGTTGAGGCAGTATGTGGGCATGGAACATCCCTCCAGAAACTCAGGCAAAGGGTGGGAGCTCACACTCAGCTTCCCGAAGAGCCGGCTCGCCACGTCCCTGTAGACGAGAGCATCTGGGGTGATGAGCCGGCAGGCGACCTGCTGGATGAGCCGGTGGTAGACCTGAGCTCTCAGAGTGTGGCTCGCCGCCCAGTAGCCTTCTCTTGCCAGCTTCTTCAGCTCCTTCAGGGGCTTGCCAAGGATGTCTTGGGGAATGTGCACCTCTTGCTCCGGTTCTGGCATCTTGTCCCAGTCCACGAACTGGCCACAGCTCAGACAAGAGGAGGCATCGATGTCCCAGGTGTCGGCCTCCGACGTGATCACGACGGTGACTGGAGATGAGCCAAACGTCTCTGTAGGACAAAGACCTTTTATTCAACACGCTTCACCGCCCCGGTTGACAGCGTCTCACCCTGGTTGATGGTGCTTTGAAGTCTTACAGCAGTGTCTTGTATTTCAGCAGTTACTCTACCCTCCCGCAAAGGGAAGGGTTGCAAAAGGCTTTGCCCGGCTGGAGCTGCTCGCTTTGCCCTCGCCTCTTCACGTCGGCTCGGGGCAGCTGCTGTGCAGGGGCTCGGGGAAGCATGGGGCCAGGTACCAGCTGGGTGCCAGGGCTGCTTCTCCACACCGTGAGGGGCTTTGCACCCCTCAGAAAGCTCCTGATTTCCCTTCCCAGCCTGTGACCCGCCGAGAGGGAGGTGTGGAGAGCAGGGACACAGTCTCTGTCCCCCGGGATGACCACGGGACAGTGGTGTTACACCACCGAGGAGAACGAGCAGCTCGGTCCCAGCCCACCTCTGCAGGGGTGAGGGAGGCCCTCACCGGGCAGTGGGGACCCAAGCAATGCTGAGGCCGAGAGGCACCATCTGCATCATGTCCTCTCCCAAGGACAGAGCAGGAGAAAATGTCCTGTCTGGGTCTGGCAGCCCAGGACCAGGCTGCGACGAGCCCAGACAAGGTGGGCAGCCTCTTGCTGCCTCCTGCCAACGTCTCCTGCAAAAGACTCCCAACCCCTCCGGTGCCAGAGAGAAGGTGCAAGGAGAAGGTGCTGCAGCGAGAGGGGCTTGCCACGGGATGGTCTGTGGGGTCCCAAAGGGTCCCCGTTTCCCGTATGCCCCCATGCACGCAGGGGCTGGCAGGGGCTGGCGAGCATTGGGGAAGCCCCTCGTTCCCCAGGGACCCTCGGGAGAGGCTCCCGCACACAGCACCATGGCAGGGCTGTGCCA